GTCACACGTGCAGACATTAAGCAATGTTCAATTGATATATCTGTTTGTCACACGTGCAGACATTAAGTAATGTTATATCTGTTTGTCACACGTGCAGACATTAAGTAATGTTCGATTGATATATCTGTTTGTCACACGTGCAGATATTAAGTAATGTTCAATTGATATATAAAACAACTCTTGCATTGTCAGGCGTGACGATTGTTACAATCACACATCTTCAAATGCGGGATCACAAAGTTTATATAACTCTTGTCACAACATGTTCTACAATCACATCTTCAAAAGCAGAATCACAAAGATTATATAACCCTTGCATTCTTTACAATCACATGTCTCAAAGCAAGTATGCACACATCCTACATATTGCTTGCCTTGCAAGATGTGACATGTAATGCAGTCTATTTCTGATGATTTAATTCTTGAAAATAATATAAAATAGCTAGTGATCATCTGTTCATATGCTACCTTTGCCAAAAGTTGTAAATGTATTTGGGTTATAAATGTAATTTCTATTGCTTCATATTGTTTAACATACGTTAAGTTATAATTGCTTTGTAATTTGTTTTGTCTAATTCTTTAATTGTATATTCATGTACCATGTGGTTATTGTATTCATTTTACCACAAACCTAAGGCATGGAAATTCAATTATAAAATAAGGGATGTTTAGTAGCGTCTTTCATTATATTAGAGCATTTCACGAAAGCAATAGTTATGAAAAACGATAAAGACAGATAGACTGATTTAGTTTAAAGCTGTTATACCCATGATAAGCTCGATGTTTCCAAAAAGAGACGTTGGTTATATCGATTATTTAATTGATTTTTCCATCTATGATTGCAATCAATATTATAACTTTATAACAATGCCCTAACCTTCATGAGTATTGAAATTCATTTTCCATGTCTTATCAAAAGACAGAAAACCCTTACTGAAAAGAAAATTCTAACGTATGCATCATTAATATACAAACCTCATTAACGTTTTGATAAAGTGATCACGAATCGAATGATAATGAGAATTAATAATAACAGTATATGCTCCTATTGTGGTTTGAGTGAAGCAGTTTGCCAGGCATGTAATTTTGAAGGCATGTAATTTTCTGCATTCACTTTTCAATTTTTCGAATATATTCGAATATGTGCAATATGATCATGCAGTGACATCTTTATTTTTGCCATATCACCGCAATATTCTAACTACTCATATAGAGTTGCAGTGACATCTATCGTTTTCCCTGATCTTGTTTAATTAGCTTTCAGTGACATCTAATAACTAAATATAATACTTCCACACTGACATTCATCTTGTGTTTATAGAATCAGAATGGGCGATCTAAAAGGCTGGGTTGTTAAAACCTCCCTGAGATAAGTGCTAGATTCATTGATAAGATCGATATTGACATATTATTGATAACATTACATTGATAAGACATACACCCACTAGGGTGTCATTATCACTTATATGTATATATGTTTATATGATTTTAATAAATAAAATAAAAAATAAAAATAAAAAAACATTATTGGAAAGGTTTTGCCAATGATTAATTGTGCTCACGTTGGAAATAAAATAACTATGTATAAATGAAACTAACTTATTTCTTGTGTTTGATATCTTGAATGTTTATAGTTAAATAGATGTTTTTCCACTCCCATGTTAACTTTAAATTGGGAAATATATCTCACTAAAATCCGGATCAACTCACTCCCCTAGGTAAATATTGAAAATCAAGAAAAATCGGAAAATGTATAGATCTGAGATAAATTGAGTGTTTGATTCTTTACTTATTTGTATTACAATTGAAACGACCGTGTAGCATCGTAATGTTTATTCTTTTTATTGTCTTGCATGCATCCAAGGATGATTCTTTCTGTTCTTTTGCTGTTCATGAACTTAATTATATGTAAAGATCAGAACGACCATTAGAGGTGAATGAGTAATACGTGAGACATCTATTACCGAAAAGCAAAAACTTTACACGTTCCGCTCTTCGACATACAAGTAATATCTTAGAAATAATATGTATAGATACATTTAGTATTTTCCAACATATGCTATCATACTTACTACATACAACGCAAGCGTATGTTTGTTTTATTTTGACAAGATAGGATAGACATATGCCAGGATTTCATACCGCTCCCGTATTTCGAGCTTTATTTTCCCGGTATATTAAACGTATGTTGCAAATGCTTTATACGACTATATACTCTTTGATACACGGAAAATCACGAACATTTGATATGGATAGATATCATGTGATTCTATGTCATTTGACGCTGTGATGGCCTGTTATTCTTCAGAGTGTGTTCATTGGTAAAGCTAGTGAAGTACTTTCATCTCAATAGAAGTAAGCTAAGCTTACAAGCAAATTAAAATTATGTTATTCAAGCTTATGAGCTTGTGTCAGAAGCTTATAGACAAATATTCAGAAACACTCATAAACAGAATGACCAAATCCATGTAGAATTTGAGAGCAAGAGAACCTTTTTAACAGAGGGCTTGTTTTTAAAGACTTCAGAGACGACTTCAAGAAACTCAGTGAGCTATTGTAGGAGCAAAAAAATTGTGTTCAATATCATTAAGAACCTATTTGGAAGAACACAATGTTGAAACCTTAAGTCAAGCCGCCCTGTCTGATTCATAAAAGGGTAGTCCCAATTTAAGAGCTTATCAGGGTAGAAAACCATTCATATGGTCATTAGTCTTATCAATCATTGTCATGAAGTACTCCAGATAAAGTGAAAGACCAGTCTCATTTGGAAAGTGGGAATGTCCCCATATTGTATCCTTGTGTAGCTCTGTTAATTGACGTTGTTACAAAGGCCAGGTACAATCCTATTAGAAATACCTTATCCAGAGGACAGCTTCTTTATGATAGCATCTAATGTACTGGAAGAAAATATTGTCTCTGTATTCAGAGTCCTATACATCAATGAAGTACGTAACATGGAAAAACACTTATTATATCTAAATAAAAAATGTTTATTATATATATATACTGATCCCTCTAAGTGTGTTTAATTGACGTTATACCAAGGGTCAGGCACAATCCCATTAGAAATACCTTATCCAGAGGACAGTTTCTTTATGATAGTATCTAATGTAGTCAAAGAAAATATAATCGCTGTATTACAACAGTCCTATATACTAATGAAGTACATACCATGGCAAAAAGATTAATTAAATACATCTTTGAGTATTTCAGCAAAAACATTGTGTTAGCTATTCTATGAGCTTCAACTATGAGACAAAACAATAGACCATGGCTCCTAGACCTTACCAATATAAGAAAAAAAATTAGAATGTGAACACAATATGACAATAATAAAAAAAAAACTAAGGCAGCAAATGTTGCATTTTCAACTACATTTTCTGCAATTACAGATTAAACTGGGTTATTACTAATAGCAAATTGCCTCTCATGCATGCAGTCAATGTGGGAGAATGTTTTATAGATTATACAATCTGGAATAATAAAAGTAATGCATTTTAGGTATTCACAGAATAAGAGAGCATACGAGGGGTGATCCAAAAGTCTTGGACGCCACGCTCTAACTTTGCTATTTTCTAATATAATTACATGAAACTTTCAGATAATAAAGATCAACATCTTAACAACTTTGTGTATAAGTTTCAACAGAAAATAATATATTTTAACTACTTTTCTAAATAGTTTTTAATACCGGGTCGCAGCCACCCGGAACGGTATTTGAATATAGTAAATCACGTCACAACTGCTACAATATGGCAAATACTTTAGGTGCAGGTGCATAACCTAACACCATTCATGATATGAGAGAATTTCCGATTTTCAATCTGAGTGTCATCTACCATCATCATTTTCACGTATTAAGACCTACTTTTCAACATATTTTCCACGAATTTGAACACATTTTTCATACCGCTTTACCAATGAATGAAAGACATTTATGAAACCGCCATTGCTTATTTGATACAAATGCTGCTGGAGTGCCACTCTAAACCTCATCCAATGAGTAAAAAACATTTTCTTCCAACCCTTCTTTCAACTTCAGAAATGGAAGAAAATCGCACAGAGCCATATCTAGACTATATCGTGCATATGGTAGCTGCTCAAGGTCAATAAAAGTGAGAATATCTTGTAGTATACTTTGTTCCACTTTGATTTCTTTCATGTTCTCCATTTCAGCAGCCATCTTGGAGCAAAAATGATACCAGAATGAGGGTTGCTTGTCTGATGTCATTTTCTTAGAATTTGACATATACAGCCATTGTCATATATGCCATGATATTCAAAACACAATTAATTGATTGCCTAATAACAAAGGAAGTAAACTAACATGGTTTAACATTCAAAATTCAAAGAAAGATAGTGGTCAAGACTTGTGAAACAAGTGAAATGGCGGGAACATTTAAGGCTGAAAGTTGTCATGTGCGTATACCGTTCCGGGTGGCAGGGTCCCTACATTAAAAACTATCTAAAAAACTACATCAAATATATAATTTCTCCATGAAATTAACACACAAAGTAGTTTGGTTGTTGGTCTTTATTATTGGAAAGTTTGAAGTAATTTTATCAAAAACCAACAAAATTAGAGCAGGGCGTCCAAGACTTTTGGATCACCCCTCGTATACACTGTGAACCCCCAGGATTTGTTCTAAACAAAAATAAACATGACTTGTCTCAATAAATGTGTGGCCTTCTCTGAACATGTTCTCATTAAAAAAGAATTGAAGAGCTTATGCGGTTTATATCAAAACATGAACAAAGGAGCCAGAATGTACATTTTCTGACTCAAGATAATGTGGCCAGATGAATATGATTTATCTCAATATTTGAGTGGACTTAGGTCTGTATGTTGATAAATTGGCAGTTAATAAGAGGAGAGCATATAGAGACAACCTTTCAATAGAAAGTTAAAGGAAACAGAAAAGAAAATTGAATATTCTTTGACAAAAGAGATATTTCCCTTTCACATACCTTGTCTTAAAAACAAAATATCCAAACATCTTCCGGGTTAAACATAATTTAACTGTAAGCAGAAAGTCCCTAGAAGAAGCTAATGTTTATGTGAATTTCAAGAATTCACGAAGTCTCACACTGCTTACAATTACCTTAAAACCATTAGTGCATGAATTGGAAAGGAAAATGAGGACTAATATGGTAAATTATTACAGGAAATTAAAATCAAATGGTCAGACAACCTCTTTAAGATTTAAAGAACAACTCGCCACTGTGTCACTATCAAGTGAAATGTACAGTATAAAAATAAACAAAGCAGATTTTATTAAAAAGGAGTGCTTATTAAAGACACTGAACTGATGTCAATCTGACAGTTGAAGGCAGGAGGCATATTGGAAGAGCATATAAATAATACTCATTATTGAAGTATTTTATCTGTGGATAAAAATTATATATAATATTGAAGAGATGTTCAATACATTGAAATAATACAAGGAAAATGGTTAACAAAAAGTTACGAAAGAGCATGTTAATAATAATCATTATTTGAATATTCTATGACATAGATCTCTGTTTCTGTATACAGAAGATGTTTAATACATCGGAATAATACAAGGAGAAAGGTTTATATATATATATAAACAAAGAGTGTATAAATAATACCAGTTTGAATATGCCATCTGTGGTTTAGAGAAAATATATAAGACATTGACCTCCGTTTCTGTATAGAACAGAAGATGTTCAAAACATCAAAAAACAAAAAAAACATATGAATGATACTCATTATTTTAGTTTTCCAACCATGGTCTAGATAAAATATATGACATTGACCTCTGCATTTGTGTAGAGAAAAGATGTTCAATACATCAGAATAATACAAAGAGAATGGTTTCTACATATACACTGTATATGAAAGAGTGTATAAATAATACCAGCATGAGTATGCCGTATGTGGTTTAGATAAAATATATATGACATTGACCTCTGCTTCTGTACAGAGAAAAGATGTGCAATACAAGAGAATAATACAAGCAGAAATACAAGGTTAACAGGAATGCCTCCACTGAACTATTGCTGACTAGATATTCCTGTTCTGACAGACTACAAATGATGAGCAGTACATCCAGATGATATTTGGAGAAAATAAATATACAAGTACAATCATTTAGCTGGCTAGATACCAGCGTTGACTGATAGAAATGATGATCAATACATCCAGATAATTTACAGATGATAATATGCTCTTATATTATGAAAACAAATCAAAATCTATACTGGACTATGTAAACAATGAAGTGCTTATTGCAAAAAGCTGCGTAAGCAAATTTAAACATGGGGACTACCCAAACATTGTATTCCTGTTTCAAACAGAGTTTGGACAAATATTTCAGTAAATTGAAAATTGATAATTGCAAACTGATATTTTTGTATGCTGTATTATTAAAAAGAAATAAAAATTAAAAGCAAAAAAACATCCAGATAATAATACTTGGTGAAGAAATATACAAGGTCGACTATTTTGCTGGCTAGATATGTTGTTTCTGCATTAAGAAATCCAGAGATGATCAAACACATCGAGAAAATAATACTTTCTACTAGTTATACATGTACATGTACTATTTGAGAAAATCTACTAAATAGTTCGATGTTTTTGTACCTAAATAAAGTTTATATTATAAAAAAACATTAATTGAGTATTACATCTGTTGTTTAGATAACATATATCCAACATTGACCTTTTGTATGTATCTGTACTTAGAAGACAATATTCATTACATCCAAATAATTCAAGAACATATATATGAAAGAGTGTATATAATAATACCAGTATGAGTATGCCATATGTGGTTTAGATAAAATATATGACATTGATCTTGGTTTCTGCATTGAACAGAAGATGTTCAATACATCAGAATAATACAAGGAGAATGGTTAACAGGAATGCACCCACTGAGCCATTTGCGGACTAGATATTCCAGTGCTGACTGATTTTAAATGATGAGCAGTGCATCCAGATATTTGGAGAAAATAATTATACAATACAAGTAGAGCTATTATGCTAGCTCGATCCCTGTTTTAACTGAATTAGACGGGAAGAAGTTTAACATAAACAATAGAAAACTTCTAAATAGAAAGTACAAACCCTCTGTATGAGTAATAATTATTCACCTTATAATTACATAAATATTATTAGAAAATTCTCTTGGATGAGAATACAGATGGTTTTCTCATTTAAAAATAGGTCACTTCACATGAATATATCATGAAGCCATATTAAATTGAGCCAATTATTGGCCACTTCACTTACCTTAAAATATCTAAATATATTACAAAGATTAACATATAGACAAAGAGTTATTTGGATTTTCAAAACACGGACCATGTATAAGAATAGGATTTCGGTTACGAATGAATTCATTATAGAATGAAACTCATATGAAGAATTTCAGGTTCTGGCCTTATATAGATTTTGCAGAAATGAGGAAATCATATAAAAGAAACTACTAAATACTATAATTAATCTAATTAAATAAAAAGAGGTAAGTACCAAGGTGTATGTTGAGACAACATGGTCCTAGTATGGAGGTAAGGACCAAAGAGACAGATGATAGATAAAAGGTACTATTTAAATAATAGAAAAGTATAAAAGTGGAATGTAGAATGTCATGCTTTTTACTGTATGTTGATTTCAGCTACTGACCACACAAGATGATGGCATATATTGTTAAACAACAATATGAAACAATAAAACAGTGCCATGCTTTCAATGTATGTTAATTTCAGCTACTGACCACAGGAAATGGTGGCAAACAACAATATGAAACAATAAAATAATGCCATGCTTTCAATGTATGTTGATTTCAGCTACTGACCACAGAAGATGGTGGCAAACAACAATACGAAACAATAAAATAATGCCATGCTTTCAATGTATGTTGATTTCAGCTACTGACCAAAGAAGATGGTGGCATATATTGTTAAACAACAATATGAAACAATAAAACAATGTCATGCTTTGAATGTATGTTGATTTCAGCTACTGACAACAGAAGATGGTGGCATATATTGTTAAACAACAATGTGAAACAATAAAACAATGTCATGCTTTGAATGTATGTTGATTTCAGCTACTGACAACAGAAGGTGAAGGCATATATTGTTAAACAACAATATGAAACAATAAAACAATGTCATGCTTTGAATGTATGTTGATTTCAGCTACTGACAACAGAAGGTGAAGGCATATATTGTTAAACAACAATAGGAAACAATAAAACAGTGCCATGACTCAATATATGTTGATCTACATAAAGATATATATATACATAGATATGTTGTTTCTGCATTAAGAAATCCAGGGATGATCAAAACATCGAGACAATAATACTTTCTACTAGTTATAAATGTACTATTTGAGAAAATCTACTAAATACTCCGATGTTTTTGTACCTAAATGAAGTTTATATTATAAAAAACATTAATTGAGTATTCCATCTGTTGTTTATTTAGATAACATGTATACAACATTGACCTTTGTTTGTATCTGTACTGAGAAGACAATATTCATTACATCCAAATAATTCAAAGAGAACATATATATCAAATAGTGTATAAATAATACCAGTATGAGTATGCCATATGTGGTTTAGATAAAATATATGACATTGATCTTGGTTTCTGCATAGAACAGAAGATGTTCAATACATCAGAATAATACAAGGAGAATGGTTAACAGGAATGCACCCACTGAGCCATTTGCGGACTAGACATTCCAGTATTGACTGATTTTAAATGATGAGCAGTGCATCCAGATATTTGGAGAAAATAATTATACAATACAAGTAGAGCTATTTTGCTAGCTAGATCCCTGTTTTAACTGAATTAGAGGGGAAGAAGTTTAACATAAACAATAAATAACTTCTATCAAAAGTACAAATCTCTGTATGAGTAATAAATATTCACCTTAAAATTAAATAAATATTGTGAGAAAATTCTCCTGGATGACAATACAGATGGTTTTCTCATTTAAAAAATAGGTCACTTCACATGAATATATCATGAAGCCATATTAAATTGAGCCACTTCACTTACCTTAAAATATCTAAATATATTACAAAGATTAACATATAGACAAAGAGTTATTTGTATTTTCAAAACACGGACCATGTATAAGAATAAGATTTCGGTTAAGAGGGAATTCATTATAGAATGAAACTCATATGAAGAATTTCAGGTTCTGGCCTTATATGGAGTTTGCAGAAATGAGGAAATCATATAAAAGAAACTACTAAATACTATAATTAATCTAATTAAATAAAAAGAGATATGTACCAATGTGTATGTTGAGACAACATGGTCCTAGTATGTAGGTAAGGACCAAAGAGACAGATGATAGATGAAAAGGTACTATTTAAATAATAGAAAAGTAGAAAAGTGGAATGTAGAATGTCATGATTTTCACTGTATGTTGATTTCAGCTACTGACCACACAAGATGATGGCATATATTGTTAAACAACAATATGAAATTAAAAACAGTGCCATGCTTTCACTGTATGTTGATTTCAGCTACTGATAACAGAAGGTGAAGGCATATATTGTTAAACAACAATATGGAACAATAAAAAATGCCATGCTTTAAATGTTTGTTGATTTCAGCTACTGACAACAGAAGGTGAAGGCATATGTTGTTAAACAACAATATGAAACAATAAAACAGTACCACGCTTTCAATGTATGTTGATTTCAGCTACTGACCACAGAAGATGGTGGCAAACAACAATATGAAACAATAAAATAATGCCATGCTTTCAATGTATGTTGATTTCAGCTACTGACAACAGAAGGTGAAAGCATATATTGTTAAACAACAATGTGAAACAATAAAACAATGTCATGCTTTCAATGTATGTTGATTTCAGCTACTGACAACAGAAGGTGAAGGCATATATTTTTAAACAACAATGTGAAACAATAAAACAATGTCATGCTTTCAATGTATGTTGATTTCAGCTACTGACAAAAGAAGGTGAAGGCATATATTGTTAAACAACAATATGAAACAATAAAACAGTTCCATGCTTTCATTATATGTTGATCTACATGGTCCTAGTGTGTGGCTAATTTCCATTATGAGGAAGGAATTGCAAATGGTTTTGGTATAAAAGAATATGGAATAATAATTTCACAGGTATGTAAAGTGGAAAATTGTCAATCTTCATGGTCCATGTGGGTGGTTCATTCTATTATTAGGAAGAAATTGCAAAATAGAACCAACAATGCACCTGATTTGTTTGCAGATGATGAACAGTTTAACAGTATATATGATGCAATGTTGAGACAACATGATCCTGGTGCATTTGTCAATTATAGAAAAAAGGTGTTAAATACAACAGAATAATACAAGGAGAAATACAATGTTAACAGGAATGCACCAACTGAACCATTGCTGACTAGATATTCTTGTTCTGACTGACTAC